CTTTCCTGCCTTAAAAAATAATAAAAGCACAAAATAAGAAAAGAAAACATAGAGAAAGGGAAAAGTTACACAGGGACCGATGTCTCTCTCATGCCTCGCACCCGCTTATAGGGCTGCATTGCTTGCAAGGCTCGGCACTGGCTGGCACACGGAGAGCTCCAAATCCCGGTTAATTACCATATCAAAAACGCAGGACGATGAACTTTCCCTTTATCGCCCTAAAAGCTTGTCCAGGGGCTAAAGATAGCGCGCTTGTTTGCTGGGATTTTTTTCTCCCTGCCCGCGCTTTCAGGGCGGATCAGACTCCGCAGTGACCCCGCTTTCGGGGGCTCCAGCTCAGACACAGCCGGTTTTGTTCCCTCCGGGAGGCGACGCAGATGGGATCAATAAGGAATTACATCGGGGCGGGTAACAGCGCCCTTCGGAAACGCTCCGTGCAAAGAGCCGCCGGCGCCGCCAGCCCCGCGCAGGTGCCGCGCTGTGACTGCGCCGAAACGCGGCCGCATCGACGGGTCCCCCTGGGTACCCCCATTTCGATCCGGGCGGCGCCTGCCCGCGAGCCGTCGGGGCTACCCCGGCTGCCCCCTCGGACCTTCCTGCGCCTCATCCCCGCTTTCCTGAGTTCCCCCGCAAATCCTGGGGCTGGGCAGAGCCTTCGGGACGGGATGAGACAGTGTGGCCGGGTAGGGACAGCCACCCTGCGTGGACTCCCCGCGGCCAAAACCTCCCTGCGGGGGAGCCGGCCCCGACGCCTCACAAAAGCTGCCCTGACGAGGCCGGGGAGGACGAAGGACCACGGGCGCTTCGGGAGCCGGGCAGGACCCCGCCGTCCAGTGCAGAGCCACCCAAATCCCGCTGCGCTGCCCTTTGCCGTCGGGCCGCCGTGGGGAGGGGCCCTCGTCGAGCCCCGGGGGCGCTCCCGCCGCCGCACTTACAAAGCCGTGCTTGTCCGAGATGTTGTTGGTCAGCTTGAGCTTGTGAAACGCGACCGGCTTGGCCATCCACTGCTCGCCCGTGGCCGGGCTGTCGGGGTGGATGTACATGCGCTTGGGCATCTCGGGATCGGCCTTGCCCGCCACCATCCAGCGGGAGTTGTGGAACTTGTACCGGCAGTCGTCGGCAGCGACTATATCCATGAGCAAAATGTACTTGGCCTTCTTGTCCAGGCCGCTGACCCGCACCTTGAACGGAGGGAACATCCTCCTGCGGAGAGAGGCGGAAAGGGCAGCGCGGCCTTTCAGCGCCGGGCAGCAACACGGGGCGCAGGGAGAACCCGCGAGCAGCGGGGCTGCAACCTGCTGCTCGGGTAGCCGGGGATACAGGTGTCCCCATGTCCCCCCCACAGTATGTGTTTGTGTGTGAGGACCCCGGGGGCGGGCGGCCCCGTGGAGCTGCGCACAGAACCCCGCGGTGTCCTGGGGCCTCCCCTTCGGGCGCTTCCAAAATAATTTTCTTTCTTAAAAAAAAAATGATTTTTTTTTTGAGATCGTGCAATAAATTCCCAGCATTTTTCACGGTCAAGAATCACCCACTTCTCCTAGCTCTGCTCCATTCGCGGGATGGAAAACATGGGAAAAGTCTTAAAATCCCATTTCAGGAAATCAAGGGCAGAGATGAAAAACACATCCCGGCTCCGATTTAACCCTCTCTTCTTTTCCTGCAGAAAGGCACGAAAGAAGCAGCCCGCGGCCCCGGGCGCCGAGCAGGAGCGGGCCGGGCCGGGCCGGGCCGGGCTGCAACCCC